AATAATTTTTCCCCTTGGTAGCTCTGCAAGCTTGAGATTACTCAAGAGTCTGTGTGTCTTTTATACATACATACTCATATGGTACAGCAGAAAGAGCACTGGACAAGGAGTCAGAAAACCTCAACTTCAACCTTGGTTCTGTCAGTGGAAGCTGTGTAGCTCCAGAAAGACAGCTACTTTCTCTAGGTTTCAGTTTTCTTGCCAACAACGTGGGTATGAAATCTCCTGCCTATCTCACAAAGTTGTACTGGGAATAATGCTTCTTAAATGATAAAGCAACATACAAATATGAGATGCTATTATTACAGGATAAGGTGCTTTTAAAACATGATCATACATTCTTTGACATGCTTCCTTTTGGAAGATAAGGTCTAATTCTCCTCTCCTTAGATGTGTGCCTGACTAGTGATTTATTTCAAATGAACAGAATGTAGCAGAAGTGAAGCTGACTTCCAAGGCAAGGTCCTAGAAAGGACAGCTTCCCCTGGCTTTCATTCTCTCAGATCACTCACAAGCCAGAGATCATGCCACGAGGACACTTAGGCAGCCTGCAGGGAGGCCCATCTCGGGGTGGGGAGCGGAGGCCTCCCACCAATGCTCAGCACCAACCTACTGGCCATGGAAGTAACCCACCTTGGAAGCAGACCCTCTAGCCCAATCTGGGCTTCTGCAGGTGGCTGCAGCCCTGACCACCATCTCAACTGCGACTGGACAGACCCTGAGCCCAAGCTACCTGTCTAAACTCTCAAATTCATGACCCACAGAAACCATGGGAGACAATGAAGTGTTACTTTTAAGAAATTACATTTTGGGGTAATTTGTTATACAGCAATAGATAACTAATATGAAGAACTATGTCCAACTAGCCAACCAATGGTATGGCAGGCATTTGTTTCTCTTACAATGTGATAGGTCAGTTTTCATCCACATTCTTTCTTGCCTACTCCTAGTGACTAATAACGTGTGAAGCGGCAGGCTGAGGGGTCAGGGAGAGGAGAGTACAATTTCACCTCTGGTAAGATTGACACTAGCCCTACACTATCTTTAAGTAAAATAGGCCCTCACCTCGTCAGTATTATAAGTACTATAACTGCTATTTTTTATAAGTGGGAAACAACAATAACACAAACCCCAAATCAACAGCAACAAACGACTGTTGGAAGTCAAAGCAGAAGTGGGGGCCAGGAAATTGGACCCACAGGACAGTGAGCCCGTACTGACAAAGCACCAAACCAATTCTGTGGCTACATGCTAATCTATTACCATACTGTTTATACTTGAGGAGCTCTGGAATCCTTATCTTAACCAAGCTCTTTCTCATCTAGAGGACAAAGATATCTATTCAGTATTTAAAATACACAGTTTACCTTTCTGGTCTGGTTTCCCAAGAAAGTAGTAACTTGCCCTCTGCTCACCACAGGCTCTGTGGCAGTCCCTGCCCGCCCTCCCCAGTCCTCTACTGTGTCTGCAGACCAGGTGTGTGGACGCAGTTGGGTGTGGTGCCTGGTCTGCAGGCAGACAAAGTTTTCCCTGGGCAAAGACTAATCAGCTGACATAAAGAACAGTTTGCATCACCGCCTTGTTAATCTCCTGCTTTAACCCACTCAGCTAACTGGCATCAAAAAGCCAGTAATCATGATCAGCAGGACTCCATGGCTAAAAGGCTTCTGGGGAGGAGTCAGAGGACCTGGGCTCCAGCTCTGGCACTTAGCAGTAGTTGTCACGCCTCCCTTCCTCCCTCCACATCAGATCTCAAACACCCTGGGAGACCAAACGTGGGGCAGGAACTGTTCACTGCCTGTTCAAGATATACCTACTCTCCTGAGATATGGCGACTTTCCATTTGCTCTGCTGCCAACCTGCCAGTCCTTCAAAGAACAACATGCAATCGCTTCCCTTCATCCCTGAAGCACACACATTCACTTTTCAAAAATCCACTAATTTAAAAGACATGATTTGTCCCTTAAATAACTTATGGTCCTCTTTCCTAACTCATTAATTGGTTGGAACAACCCTGGCTAACAGCTAACAGATTTAGTGATGTTTTAATGGACCTCTTTCTTGTCTCACCCCAATTACTCTCAAGGGCTGCTGAAGGCAGTGATGGCTACTGTGGACACAGGCGCTGGCCATGGAACATGCTTTGTGTTTCTGTTTGTTAAATCTGAATGCTCCTAATTAGTTACCCTGCCCACTACTGCCTGGAGGGACAATGATGCAGGAATCAGGGGTGCTGAGAGGCTATGGATACAGGCTTTCTGAGGCCTGAGAGCTGCTGACTTGGCTGTGAGCACAAGGCGCTGTGTTCCTGCAGGCTGAGGATTCAAAGACGTCAGTCCCCATGTGAATAAAGGTCGTCACCTGTTACTTCTTTGGTGAAAGGGCAGCTGTGCTGAGGGCCCACTTAGGCTTGGCCTTTGTCTGCTGACTCTGAATAAAACCTACAGAGAACAACATTCTCTGGTTCTGTGTTTGGTGGGGCAGGGTCATGCAAAATAACTCACATCACTTTCTTAAAGAATTCAGCAAAGTGTTTTTAAAAAGTGGCCTCGAAGTACCTTAAACACTACCTTTTGGTGACTGCACTCACCGGCCAGAAAATCTTCATGGTAGAACCACCATCTGCACTATTTCTTCAGGAACCAATTCTGGTAAATGTTTAGGTCACACAAATGACAATTCCTAAGTTCTGTGGGTATGGCAGTTAGCAAAAAAGTTAATTGAACAGTTAGCTAGCTATTCAGGAATATTTAGTGTTCCAAAAGTCTGCAACAATGAACAACTCATTATAATTCCAATACATAAAAAATAGGGATTTTTATTTGGTATTAGAATTCTGTGTGGTGGTGTTTCACACAGCAGTATTTCTAATTTTTTTTTTAGGAGCTAATGTTAATTATTTGCTTTTCTTTTGGGGACAGTAAGTGCTAGACTTCAGGGTAATATGCAAGTGTGTGTGTATCCATCCATTCATCCACTGATTCCCTGAACACTTACATGCTTAGTTGCTTAGTATGTGTTTATTGCTTCAGCATAAAACAGCTCAGACTGTTCTATGCAACTCCGGAAAGGCAGCATGCATGTGATTTACTTTCTCTTTTTGTGGCTCTTGAGTGCTATGGGTCCTCCATTCTGGCATCCTTCCCACATCACATACCCTTACTAAGCATCTGAAATTCCAGACTTTTCCATCTTTTTTCATCATTGAACTTATCTGTTGAAGTCTAAACCTCAAATATCATCCTGTGCTTTCAATTTATTAGTAAGAAAAAAGAATTTGTACCCAAATAAAAATTTATCCCCAGATAATATTTTTCATATTAATTAGAATCTAAATTGCCTTAATCTGAAGTGGGGTCTAGTTTGGAAATGTAGGGCCTGGGGAAGGTGAACAATGGGGAAATCAGCTCCTCAGCTGGTCCCACAGAGGGGTGTGAATGTTGGGGGGGTGAGGGTGGGAGGTGGAGGGAGTGGACGGCAGGGGCCACTCTGACTGCCTCACCCATGGGATCACCCAGTATCCTTTCTCATGAATCACATATAAATAGAATCATTCAATGCTTACCTTACATATGCCCCAAAGGTGAGTAAAACCAGAAGAGTTAGTCATTAATATACATTTTAGGTTTTGTCACAGGAGCACAGGTAGCCAAAATTTAGAAGTTAAATCTGACTTTTCTTTTCAGCAAGTAGAAGTAACTTTAGAACTCATATCGCTTACCCTCTGAGGGCTGACATATTAATCCAGGGCTCTGATTTGTTCCTTAGGAGCAACTATGAGCTCTTGAGCACACTGACTTACTATACCAATGCATTCTGGTAAAATGTGGAACCCTTACCGTGTTAAACCAGCCAAGGGGATGTGAGTAAGGAGGTCATTTGCCGCGTACTCTGCAGGGAAAGGGGAGAGCTGCTCCGGGAAGTTACTGCCCTGAGTATGTGTCTCTCCCTGCTGTCTCCCTGGAGCATGTCTTTCTCTTGTATTCCTACCTTAAAGCCTTCCCCTGGATTTGTGGTACTGTTGGACGGACTGAAAATAACAGAACACAAATTTTTCTCTACTTCTCTTTCTCAAAGTATGAAATCAGGAAAAAGCTCTTAAAAAGCAGTACCTCTGCTTTCCCATTCAAAACCTGCACCAATACTTGTCCATTTGTTCATGTATGCTTAGTCATCGCCTGCCACATCCTTTATGAGGAGCTCTTCTATCAGTTCAAAAACCACGAGGCATTCATGCCTCCTCAGAGAAAGCTTTTCTTCATAAGATTTTATTTTAAAAAACACCTAATGGTATACTGTTAGATTTACATTCAAAGAGCATGGATTGAATGTTTTTCTAACAATATCTACTTTGTTGAACAGAAATACACCTGAATTCTAAACTTAAGAAATGAGTGATTCAAGTCAGTGTACCTCCAGGCTCTAGGATTTGGGGAGCCTCTGCCTCTGCCTTCTCCCTTTCTTGGCCCTGCTCCAAGGCCAGGAGGAATACTTGACTCTGTTTTACATGTTACAGTGATGTCATCTGATTATAGTAAGATAATGACTATGTGTTGTTCATCTACTGCCTTTACAAAGTGCTAGTAAAACCCAGCAAGCAACTTAATCACTGGTGAAATAAACAGACAATTAGGGACTTAGCACCAACATAAGCTACAAATTTTGCTAATGATTGGTACTCATCTGTTAGTGGGCAGGAGCTGCAGCTCCCATAACAACTGGAGGGAGTTCCTTTTGTTAAGAAGTACCATTCTGTGCTATTTATTTCCTTATACCCAAGTATACAATAGTAAGGGGAAATGTATGCCAGTAAATTCAAATAATGAGAAAAAGGGAAAAAACTTTGAATGGAACATCAGAAGCATTACAGTAGCTTGAAATCTTCAGCCAAACTTAATTGAGTCCATCTTCTAAAACTTTAGGAATTGTTATGTATAAAAATGAAAACCAGAGAGAGAGATTAGGTGGCAAACTTCTTGGTAACCAGAATTCTTTCAGCATTTTTATTTTAGGTATTATTAATGTTTTATACACTGTATTATTTTAAGGTTATACATACTTAAATTATAAATCCCCCTTTACCATGTTTGTTAAATTCTTATCTTTTTTTCCTCTTTGGAGAGGAAAATGTTTACATTTGTTTTTTAAATGAAAGCTAATGGGAAAAATCAAATTCATTTTAGAGAAATTTGTAGAAAGGAATCTATGCCTTTAGGAATGATATATTATCATTATTCAAGACCTTTAACTCTTCAGTTAGTTTATCTTCCTCTCCCCTGCAAAATTTATAAACTGAAATTCATTTTTCTATAGGTATTTTATATGGTAGAAAGGTGCTTTTATTTTAGGAGTCCTTTATTTTAGGAGTGAGGTGGAAAATGAAATGGGGGGAAACTTGTGGGGCTGACATGAAAGAGAATGAGGAAGCAGCCAGCCAGAGGCCGAAATGGTACAGAACCGCCCAGCCGTCAGGCCAGTTAGCCTGCAGCGGCTGCTTTCACAAAGCAATAGTATTTGGGTTTTTTTTCTCCTGTGTTCCCTTCTCTTATATATTTGCAAGAACGGTTCAGATACAGAAAACATGCCTGAAATCTACTCAGAAACTGAGGGAAAACAGGAGGGAGGAGGGCCGCCCAGTAGTGATAGCCTCGATGTAGACAGATCAAATGCTAGATCCAATTTAACCCACCTCAGGCAGAAAAAGTAATTGAGTTAAACTTCCTCTAAATATGGTAAGTTTGGGGATCTTAAAGCCAGGCACAAAGAACCAGGTTAGGGTTAGTTGTTGAGTAAATGGATGCCTGAGCTCTAGACGCCCCCTCCCACAGGGAGTTTGATAAGCTGTTGATTGCCTCCATCACTTTACTACTGAGACTGAAAACTGATTAAGCTGCTTATGGGGCTCTGGGGGCTAATGGCCTGGCCCACCAAGAATACCGCTGCCACTGATTTAAGTAAGCTGCTTGGCATGTATGGTTTGATTATTACAAGGGGGAGAAAAAAAGAAAAGGAAAAAAAAAAAAGGCAGCAGGGTATAGGAAAGTTTTAAAGAGCAGGATCTACTATGCCAAATGGACACACTACTTTGACACCCTAAAATGAATATGGAATTACTCTGATTCTTTCTCTTCATCTGGTATCAAAAAGGCTTCCTCAAAGAGTACTCACTGTAGATCCCACCTATTCTATTTTAAACCTCCTTTTTAAGAGTATGTCGGGGCCTTTGAACACACTTCTCAAGCAATAAGTCTGGGTCTTCTAATGCTATGATCAGGTAGAGTCTTAGAAAATAGATAAATGCTATAATGAGTATTTGAATTGATTCTTCCTCTTGAATGCCACTGGGCAATCATAATTAAAAAATATATCCCTTTCTACCCCAGATAGCAGACCAAGGCTGCTTGATTATGTAGTAAAGGGCAGGCAAGACTGATGGAGCGGGTGGGAGCTGCTATGTGCAAATAGGTTAAACTTGATGCACACATAGAAATTAAAACCCTAGTATTCTCTCAGATACCTCCAACTAAATGCTGTAAGATGATTTCTGCCATTTAAAATAACTTTCCTACCCCGCAGGGACATAGAGAACATAAAAGTCTTACGTTTTAATTTATTTTAAGGTTATTTCTTTTTGTCTTGAAAAATGACTGAAGTATCTGAACCAGTTTTGACATTGACCTCATTCCGTCTGGGTAAAACAACCAGAGAGGCAAACAACCACAAACAAAGTACAGGACCACAGCAGTTTGAGGTGTTCTGAGAGTTTCCATGATTATTTCTTTTAACGGACTCCTGTAAGAATCAACAGATACATGGAAAGGAAAGTAATGCTTACAGTGTCTAAAAGCTTCTTAAGGAAAGAGCTGTTGATTTAAATGATTAACCAAAGCTTAATATATTCAGAACTTCAGGCTAAACAGACAAAATGTCAGTTTTCTTCCTGCTGCGAACCTGGTCAATCATTAAAAGGGCACACACTAATCAAAGTTTTAAAAGATGGTTTTGACTCTTATACACTCTGTTTCATTAAACTTTAAAATCATTTCAAAGTTTGGCTTGAGCACAAAGATTTGATATATTCACTGCCTGTTATCTTTTTTTTTCTGCATACAATTTTTGAGGTATAATTCATGTACCATAAAGTGCACTCTTCACTTTAAGAGTATACATTCAGTGGTTTTTAGTATTGTCACAAGTTTGCCACCATCACCACTGTCTAATTCCAGAATGTTGTCATCAGCCCCAAAGGAAACCCTGGTTCATTAGCAGCTACTCCTGAGTCCTCTGCTCTCTCCAGGCCCTGGCAACCACTCACCTACACTGTCTCTGTGGCTTTGCCTATTTTGGACATTTCATTTAAGAATCATAAAATATGTTTTTCCTGTCTGGCTTTTTTCAGCCTGATGTTTTCAAGGTTCATCCATGTTATAGCATGTATTAGTGCTTCATTGTTTTGTATGTCTGAATAATACTCCATTGTATGGATATACAACATTTTATCCAACATTTGTGTTGTTTCATTTTTTGGCTATGATTAGTTATGCTGCTTTGAACATTTGCTTTCAAGTTTTATGTGGGCATAGGTTTTCAGTTCTCTTGAGTATATAGCTAGGAGTGGAATTGCTGGATCATAAGGTGACACTGTTGAACCCAGGGATTGCCAAACTGTTTTCCAAAGTGACAACTACCACTTTACATGCCCACCAGCAATGCAAGAGCACTCCAGTTTCTCTATATCCTTGCTAATATTTCTTACTGGTCTGCAATACCTTTCTGCACCAAATGTTTTTCCCATTCTGAATAGAAATTATCAGGGCTTTTGAAGAAAATACCCCAAAGATGGCAGAATTCAGCGCCAAGACCATAATCAAAACTTTCCTAGGGAGAGAACAGAAAAGAACTGGCCCCTTTGAGTGCTTACCTGCTGCAGATCAGAGAGGGAATACAGGTGGATCTGTTGAAAGAGGTATTCTCTGGGGAAGACCCTGAAACAAGGAAACACAGGTGAACTACGGTGCTGCCACGAAACACACTCCTGTCGGTAAGTTTCAGAGTCTCATTCAAGATCCCTTTCCTCTGCCTTCTCCCCTTTCCACCTATACTCCTCCTCCCCACACCCTCTGAGAAACCTGTAGTCATACCCTTTGCTGAGATAATTTTCTCTCTAACACAGATACCAAGATGGAAGTAAAAGTTTGACTTTGATTTCGGATGTAATCCAAGGAGCTCTGAGTACTGGGCAGAGGCCCAGGCCTGAGGCCAGAGCATCATGTTTCTTGTGTTACTGTGCCCCTAACAAGCCTTGTCATCCCAGGCAAGTCCTAAAACCTATCTAGCTTCAGTTTCTTCATTGTTGAGGGAAAGTGAGTGAAATATCTCTCCAGCTCTATTATTCTATGTCTAAATTAATAGATTCTAAAGTTAAGAAAATCAGTTGGAGTGGCAACCCCTGTGTCTTTGTCTACAGGCTCCTATGGCTTTATTAATGGGGACAGTGGTGCTGAGTATCACATTAATGAACCATTCTCTTACATGTACAGTGATGAGTTTTAGAACTTAGGTATGGAGTATTTGACATTGGGATTCCTTAAGTCTAACATTTTTGGCTGCTGTCAGTTTACACCATTGGGATAAATCACAGTGAGTGAACAGGAACAAACAATCGATTATGGACAAGTAGACAGGTTATCAAAATGTAGATGGTTAGAAAAAAATCCCCCTCCCGCACCTCCACACACTAAACCCAAAATTTAAAAAAATTCACAGTGCTATCATTTTCTCTTTGTCTTATGTGGCATTATTCAATTCTCTTGTGTTGAAACAAGCCACCAATTTATTCAACTAACATTTATGACTGCCCATTAGATGTCAAGCACTGTGCCAGGTACTAGGAAGACATTTAAGAGTAAGACAGTTTCAGTGTCTGGGTTCAAGGAGCATAAAGTCAAACGACAGAAAGATACATAAACTGATAATTATCATACAGTGTGGTAATTGAAGGTGAGAGTTATGCACAGGGTATACACTGTTAGAATGGTCTGTTGTGGTGGGCCCAGCCCTGGCTGTCTGTTGGAACCACTTGGGGAGCTCTCAGAAAATAACTGGGCATACACATGGGTAGAACCCCCAAATCAGTGTTAAACAAAACAAAAACTCTCTTGGTGATTAGTGCAGCCAAGGTTTACAACCACTGGCCTAATATCTAGCTCACTAGAAAATACATTATTCAGTCTCTCAAGTGAGTATGCATTACTGGACAAATCATAGATTAAATCATTCATCTTTTTTTGTTTTTAATACATATGGAAGTTATTAATTTATTTTTTAATGCACAGGAATAAAATATGCATGTCTGATAATACCAGATGTGCACTATCCAGAAATGTTTAAGAATACACATGCACTGCATATATAACACTGATGTGGACATTGCTTCCTCCCACCCCAACACACACAATAGTTCTTATCTCTGATAGTTTTTCAAAATCATTCATCTTTTTATCCAGCAGTACTGATTAAACATAACTGTGCCAGCCACTGAAGAAAGGGCACTGAACTAATGGGGTAATGTCCTTCCCGTGGAGGCCTGGAGCAGGCATATTCTGATTTGGAGTTCTTCCGTGAAGTATGCCAGGCTCTGAAAAATTCTGAAAAGCCCTGTTTCATCCACAGGAATGAGAATAGACCAAGTGACAGACAAGGTCTTTATATCCTGGGAAATAGAGAACAGTTGCTGAGGCTGAGCTCCCTTCAGCTTCACTTCCTGGCAGTACCTGTGCTCAGGTCCTCTGTGAGAGACACAGCTTCCCTACAGAGAGGCTGCTGTGGAAGGGAGGCCCCAGTCTGAGGACACAGCCAACTTCCATCTTCAATGATACACACAGAAGTTAGAGATGATCCAGGGGCCATATACTCATGGCACTTACAGCATCAAGCACTAAGAAGAGCTTGGCACTTGACATACATGGTTTCATTCTCACAACAATTCTACAGTATGTACAGCCTCCATATTATGTAACAGGGAACTGAGGCTCAGAGATAAAAGACTAACTTGCTCAGGGTCACAAAGCTGGGATTCAAGGCCAGGACTTTCTGGCTCTAAAGGAGTATTCGTTCTACTTATTTGGAGGAGGAGAATTTGAGTTGACCATCGTATTTGGCTATATAATGCATGCCTCTTCCAGGTAGATATTTATTACAGTTTAGGTCAGTAGCAACATACAGCCATGGATCCGTTTTTAAGCAGGAAAGAGACACTGATGCACTTTGTCATGTCTGCTTTCTGAAGGCAGTAGGGAGGGTGGGGAGACTGCTGAAAGGGATAGGCCTGACAAGGTATCTGGTCTACTCTAGGGTAACCACAAGGGCGATGGCGAAAGGTGGGGTGCACAGATGGACCCTTTTGAAGAAGAATTGGCCATGTTTAGAATGGGGGAAAGAGAACAGAGTCAGAGGTGACTCTTAAGTATCTAGCTTGGGTGACAGGACGATGCTGTCACTGGCCAATACAGTGCAGGCTGTCCAGGAAGGGGATAAAGAACTGAGTTTCATGGGCCCAATATAAAGTGCTTATAGGACAGACAGCAAATGCTGCCCTGGGAAATACGGAACTGAGATGTGGAACAGTCAGGACACTTCCAACAACACCAAGGTGACAGCTGAAGCTACGGAAATGGATGGCACAGACTGAGGAGGGAACTGAACAGGAGGCAGGCTGAGCACGGCCAGGGGTTGTTTGTTTCTAGTTTGTTTGCTTTACACCGTCTTGAACTATCTGAAGTACACTTGGGTACTCTGCAACTTTTCTCCTGCTTGCTGAATAGTCTGTAGTTTACTATCAGTTTCTTAGTTTGAATTTGTACACCATGGTTGTGTAAGATGTTAACATTAGGGGCAGCTGGGTGAAAGGTAGAAACACTTCACAAATAGCAGAAATGTTAGAAACTCAGGTGAGTGTGGATACATGATTTGTTTTAAAAACAATCTTTCAAGCATCCTTGAAAAAGGACATTTGTACATTTTTGAACATTTGTACAGCTGAAGTTACCTATGTATTTACTTAGTGTTTTTGTGTGTGAATATATTTCACACATTTATTTTCTCTCTTCCTTTAAAAGAGATTCTAAGTCCTCCAGAAGCACTTTAGCCACTGTTCCCTCCTTATCAAGATTCAGTGCCCAATACTATAATTTACATGAGGCCAGTCATAACAGACAGAGAGAACTAGGAAATGCAATATATGCAGAAAAGATACAGGAACTGAGCTTATTGTCTCTGGAGATGTCATGTCCAGGAGATTCAGTGGTGGCTATAAAAAACACAGACTTTTAATACAGATAATGCCAATCAGCTTTTCTTCTCCCTGAGGATGAAAATTGTAGCACAAAAGCATTGAAGTCAAATATATGAATAAATTTCCTGAGAGGGAAGGCTAAGAGGTATTAAAATGTGTCTGTTATAGTGATGGTTTTGAATGTAAAAAGAAGAAAAAGATGTTCTGTAGCTATTTACAGGTAGGGACACATGCTCCTGCCTAGAGGAGGTAAGGGTTTCAAAGGCAGAGCCAGATATGAGGCTTATTCCCACTGTCAGTTTGTTCCTCTTTCCCATTGCCTGCCGTCTTCAAGGCAGACTGAATTTGCAAGACATTCTTTTTTTTTAAATTAAAGTATCACTGATACACAATCTTATGGATGTTTCACATGAACAACATTGTGGTTTCAACATTCACCCATATTATCATGTCCCCACACCCCCACTGCAGTCACTGTCCATCAGCGTAGTAAGACGCGATAGAGTCTACTTGTCTTCTCTGTCCTCTACTGCCTTCCCTGTGACCTGCCTATATTGTGATTAATTATAGTGCTCCTTAATCCCCTTCCCTCTCCCACCTGCACTCAACAACCCTTCCCCTCTGGTAACCACTAGTCCCTTCTCAGAGTCTGAGTCCGCTGCTGTTTTGTTCCTTCAGTTTTGATTTGTTATACTCCACAAATGAGTGAAGTCATCTGGTACTTGTAACCACTAGTCCCTTCTCAGAGTCTGAGTCCGCTGCTGTTTTGTTCCTTCAGTTTTGATTTGTTATACTCCACAAATGAGTGAAGTCATCTGGTACTTGTCTTTCTCTGCCTGGCATACCCTCTAGCTCCATCCATGTTGTTGCAAATGGTAGGGTTTTTTTTTATGACCAAATAATATTCCATTGTGTCTATGTGCCACCTCTTCTTTATCCATTCATCTACTGATGGACACTTAGGTTGCTTCCATATCTGGGCTATTGTAAAGAGTACTGAGATAAACATAGGGGTGTATATGTCTTTTCGAATCAGAGATCATGTATTCTTTGGGTAGCAAGACGTTCTTAAAATATCTTCTTTAGGCAGACCATCCACCAGGGAAGCATAGGTTAAATAGTGATGTAAAAACCCAGCCTAGAAAGGGTTGGCAGCTTCCCATCTGGGTGACGCCAAGGGCTTCTCCCTGCTGTGGCTCAGGTGTACAAGTTGGCCTTTCTGACAGGTACTCTATAGGAAATGGATGGAAGCAGCAGGGATTTCCAGCAGCCAGTTCCCCTTAAACTCTGAGGATTGAAGGAGTTGAGGAGAACCTGCAGGCCCCAGCAAGCATTAAACTACCTTAGGCAGATCTGACTAGGAGAGGACAGGACTCTTCAGGGCAGCCATTCGTGTCTGGAGGCAAAGCACGGCACCCCTTTAAGATCATCACATCACTAATTTCACTATTAATATATTCAGTAAAGAATGGGTGATTTGCATTTTGTCAGGAAACATGACTTGTGATCATCATCTCCCCCATGAATTTAATGCAAATGACCTCTTTGACTTGGTACTATTGTAAAAACCTAAAATTAGAAATGAAAATCAATATATATTTCAATGCAATAAGTATGCTAGGTATATAGCAGGTAATAGACATGCTTGGAGGAGACAGTTTTTTGATATCAGCATAGGCAGACAAGTGGGAT